TGTGGCTTCCAGCCAACACATTAACTGTCCTGGTACATTCATCTGTGCTGAGATAAACTCAGTCTCAAGGATGCAGTAGCCCTCCCAACAGCAGCAGTGACATAAATGTTGTCTGTCTGGTGGCTTTCCTGCAACGCAATCTCCTCATGCTTGTAGGCAAACAACAAACCACAAAAAGCAGTCTTGTTTATTAAATGGTCTCCAACGTCTTCATAGAGAACAGGAAGGTATTCAAAGGATCTGAGTCAATTCATCTGAATCTATGGGACACTAAATTTATTTGGGTTTAATCTGTCATGGACCATTAGTATATTTTTGCTCTAAAAAAAGTGAACAAAAGAATTAGTCTGGACAGTAATGTGAAATTGCTCAGAAACAGATAGACAATTTCAATGAAAGAGCTGCCTTACACAAATATCTTGTTGACCTGTAATATTTATTGACACAAAGGCTATTAATATGTATATAGATACTTTCTTCTAGATCAGGAGTGTCAAACTGCCAACCCACGAGCTGGATGGTCATGCTGAAACTGTGCCCACCCATTGCCAGCAATGGAAAAAAAGCTGCAATACATCACAACACATCATGTAACATTGCGAGTTTGACACCACTGTTCTAGATGAATTGAGACATAGGTCTTCCTTCCTTCCTTCCTTCCTTCCTTCCTTCCTTCCTTCCTTCCTTCCTCCCTCCCTCCCTCCCTCCCTCCCTCCCTTTCCTCCTCCTCCTCCTCCTCCTCCTCCTCCTCCTCCTCTTCTTCTTCTTCTTCCTCTTCCTCTTCCTCTTCCTCTTCTTCTTCTTCTTCTTGTTCTTCTTCTTCTATCATACAGTTTTCCATTAACATTAGCAGAAGCTTTTGCCAAGCTTAGCAGATCTTCTATATTTGCTTAAAAACCAGTTATGACTGGTGCTCTCTGGTCCAGACCACTACTACATTGCTCTCATATCCCCAGTCATTTCCTCATTAGAGTTGGTTTTTGAATGAGGAAATGATGTTGACTAGTCTGCAAGCTGTATTCTTTCCTCACCAAGTAAACTGAAAATTGTTTCAGTAGTGGATTTGGATTGGTTTAGATATTACAGGCTTGCTATTAGACTTGGGATGAATCTGGGAGCCAAGAGTCCATTGTTGGCAATAGCTGTCCAAGGAAGAAAGAGAAAATCATATCTTACCTTTTAATGAATGATTTACTAGCTTTTATTCTTCCAAGCTGTCTCACAGATGGGGACAGACAAATTGGTGAATGTTATTTCTTCCCATTTTCTCAATTTCACAAATTGTTGATTGGTGCAATTCACCGAATTTATAAGCTTGCATATTTTCCTGTGTGTGCTTTAAAATATATATTTGGGGCACTTTTTTCCTGAAATTTGATTAATTTCATGGGGGTCGCCAAACAACACAGTCCGCCATTTTTTTTCTCCTTTTCCTTAGCTGTGCTACTCCCTTTTATTCTATTGGCTTTTGAAAGCCAATAGAATAGACTCTCTTGAATAGAGTCTAATGCTATTGGCTTTCAAAAGCCAATAGGAATTATCCAGGTTGTCTCTGCCCTGCTGAGCACGCCAAAAGTCCCATTCTGCAAACGGTGCTGCACCAGTTGAGTAGTCCTCGACTTACGACCAGTTGAGTACTCCTCGACTTACGACCGGTTGGGGGTCGCGGCATTACAAAGGTTGAGAACCACTGGTTTAGTGAGAGATGGAAGGTTCTACCTTATGCATGACAGATGTATGTTTGTGTTTTTAATTCAGTTTTGACTCCTGACAATTAAATAGATAAATCCATGCAGTTTTCTTGGCAATGTGTTTTTGGAAGCAATTACCATTGCCTTCTTCCAAGGGCTAAGGGAGAGCAACTGATGGACCCAGAGACTAATGGACTGGCTGCATTCCAGAGGGAGCTTGATATTGTCCTGGAAGGTTTGTCCAGTCTGAAATTTTGTTGCTTGGGCTCAAAAGTATACACATACATAACACACATTTAAATATGCTATATACAACATATGTATAAACCTACCCCCTTACATATAAATAACATATAAATATTAATCACTGTCCATCTTGAATACATAGCAGAAAGAGGAAGCTTTAGAGTTCACAAGGAAAAAAATGGAAATGGAAAAAAACTGAGACTGAATCTGGATGTTCTGCTTCAGATGCCACGGAGCGTCCTCCCAGAAGATAACAAGGAAAACAAGTTTTGAAGAGGATGTGTAGTGTCCCAGATAATCTTGTGGGCCTTGCTCAAGCAGTGCTTATATGCCATGTCCTGGATGAAAGGGAGGGACATTCTTCAGACCCCCTTGGCCAAAGAATGTCAGCCGGCCAGGCCTAGAAGACATGCCTTTTCCACTATTGTGTCTAGTTTGTGGAACATTTTTCATATGGAGATCAGGATGGCACCATTCTGCTAGCCTTTCCTAAGACCCTAAAGTCCTGGCTATAGATCTGGCCCCAAAGTATAAAAGAACCCACTTCTTGGTTGTTATTGGTGATTTGGTTGAAGTTGTTCAGTCACTGTGTATTTTAACTTTTGTAATGTTTACCATTGTTTTTATTTTATTTTAACTATGTTTGCCATCCAGACTCACTTGTTGTGATGGGCAGCCATAAAAATATGATAAATTAATAAACTGGACCAAAGTCATCTAGCTGACTTTGGTGCTAAGGCAGGACTAGAATTCAGGTCTCCCGGTTTCAAGTCAAGATCTTTAGCCACCACATCAAAGTAGCTTTCAGCTCCAATTCTATTTATGTGGAAAATCTGAGAGAACCAGAATGGATTAGAAAACTGAAGTTAAAAGAGTGGAGAGACCCAGATTCTAGTTGTCTCTTAGGTACAGAAGTCAGCTGGGTGATTTTCTTAGCCCTAATCAACATCAGATTCTGCAATAATCCAGTTGATAGATTTACTATATGCACTGATAGTATTATTATAAGAATTGCACCCAGTGTAATGCAAAATTGATGGATTCTGCAACCAAAGGAGACAAACAGGGTAGCAAAATAGATGAACTTTGTGAAATATCAGCTTCAAGAGGAATCAAATTACAAAAGCACTTTAAGGACTTTTTTAAAGTGGGATCTTTCCTTAGCAATTTTCCAAGTGAGTCAATTCACCTTTAGAAAAAGGGGGGCAACCTGTTTCCACCTTAAATGGAAGACTGTGATAAAATTATACTTATGAGTGTGAAGTAATAATATCAAGGAGGTGTGATGTTTCCAGACTTCAGTTTTCTGCTCCTTTCTATTAAGAGGCCTGTTTTTTCTTCTTTTGTTTTAAACAGAACAAGGGGGATGTCCCTCCCTTTTTCCCCTTTGCTTCTCTCTCTCAAGGTAGATATCCATGTGCATTTGAATGCAAATGGATATTCTTTATTTATTTGCTTGATTTTGGTCCTTCCTTTCTCTTTGAGGAGCCTATGGCAGTATGTATAATACCTTATCTTCAAATATCTCTCTACCATAGCAGTGTCGAGGTAAGTTAGACCGAGTTGTCAGTAAATTTTCATAATTGAGGGAGGATTTGAATCTGTTCCCCCCAGCCCAGTTCCAACACATTCCTCAATGTTCTACCATATTCGCTGTTGAAATGATGAGTCAACAGAATCCTGATATGATAGAATGAGTTGAATTATTTGTATTTGTAGTTTATGTATATATGTGTCTGCACCTATGTGTTGTTAGTAAAGTATAAAATTAGATGTACAAGGTGTGGACTGCAACAGAGTCATTGTCCCACTGATATTCAGGTTTGTAGAAAGTTGCTTTCTTTTTCTTTTTAATATTGGGAAGCATTAAAACATGGTCTCCCTAACTTATCACACAAAAGTATACCAATACTTCAACCTCATGCTTCCCCATATTAAAAAATGCATTTCTTTGTCAGGACAGCTCTTTTGGAAACAGGTACATCCTATTTCAGTCAGTTTGGATTTTATCTAAAAATGAAATGAGTTTCGGTTTCCTTTAAATGTTTGGTTCACCTAAGTCACAACCTGCATTTTATCTTTGCAGATCAGATTCAGCCACATACAGTTCTAAGAAGTCACTTGATTTAACAGTCTGAGTTTTGCTCCTGAAATCAGCATAGTGTGTTTCAAGAATCAGGGCTGTACAGTCTGATGTTTTGGTTATCATATGCAATTATTATTAATCTTTATATATTTGTAGAAAGTTGCTTTCTTTTTCTTTTTAATATTGTGAAGCATTAAAACATAGCCTCCCTAACTTATCACACAAAAGGATACCAATACTTCAACCTTATGCTTCCCTATATTAAAAAATGCATTTCTTTGTCAGGACAGCTCTTTTGGAAACAGGTACATCCTATTTCAGTCAGTTTGGATTTTATCTAAAAATGAAATGAGTTTCGGTTTCCTTTAAATGTTTGGTTCACCTAAGTCACAACCTGCATTTTATCTTTGCAGATCAGATTCAGCCACATACAGTTCTAAGAAGTCACTTGATTTAACAGTCTGAGTTTTGCTGCTGAAATCAGCAGATTGTGTTTCAAGAATCAGGGCTGTACAGTCTGATGTTTTGGTTATCATATGCAATCATTATTAATCTTCACTGGAAATTTTTACAGACAGGTCCTAACTGGAAAATAAGTGGGTTTTTTTTCTTAATTGATTTGTGCCCTCAAAGTATATGCCCATTTCCTTGAAACCAAGATCTAGTTGACAAATGTTTGGGAAGAAAAAAAATGGTTTGCTGTGCAGTCCATCCATTATTGGAATGGGGAACACATTTAAAAATATTTTATTAGAATTTTGCAATATAATAAAGATGTAAAAATGAAAATAAAAATAAAAAAAGAAAACATGAATGAAGAAAAAAGGAAAACAGTGAAGAAAAAAGAAAGAAAACAGATTTTTGACTTCTGTTTTTCTTTCTATTGAGCAATTGCCATCTTACTCTTCCCCCTCTGTATTTAATGCCTTCTAATCCTCAAATCCATAAACCATCATTTCAATCTCTTCTTCTTTCAGGAAAAAGGACATATTAGTCTTCCAGACTTAAGAAAAAAAAACCCTTATCATTTATTTCCTGATCAAACAGGTCAGCTTTGGGATTTCTGTAAGCACCGTGAATTCAATAACCCATCTCTCTACTGTGAGTATTTTAATATTCTTCCATGTTTCTAATATTGCAGCAGATACCATATGCAATATATTGTATATTGTATATATATATATATTGTTTTCCCATATCTCTTTTCTATTTCAGCATCTATAAAACCAGAACATTGACAGTTCAATTTTCCTCTTCAAAACAACAAAGTGATTAGAAAAGCATCAAGTAGTTATTTGAAGTTAAAGAAAAATGGGTATCAATAAGAGATTCTTTTTGTTCTGGAATTGGTCTGATAGTACGGCACTTACAACTCTGTTCAAAGGAAAATTGCTTTTCCCAGTAAGTCTCTATTACAGACTTTTGTAAGTCGCTGGCTTATCCAGATATAGAAACAATGATGAGTGACACAGGTAGTAACCAAAGATTTGAATTCAGGGTATCCAGGAAGCCAGGGAGACTCCAGTGTAGTGGAGTTATATGCTACAATAGGCAAATCAGTAACACCAACACAGTCCTAAGTTAAACCTAGAAACACTCTCTGTTCAAGAAATAAATAAATCTAAAATCTAAAAAAAAATATCTAAATCTGAGAAGGTTTGAGACAGACATGGTCTTCTTTCATAGGAAAAAAAATGAGCAAATTAAAGCATTGATTTTAGCTTAGTAGTCATAAGTCATCTACATGTACTGTCACACTGGGCTTTACAGTTGGAAAGGCCATGTTCAGCTCAGTTCTGTAAAACCCCATGCTTTTTACCAAAGTGCCAGACATGTGAATTAAAAAAAATACATATAAAAAATAACAATCCGGATATGCCACCTGCTGTGTGAGTATGCAATATAATTTCCTGTAGGTTGATGTATTGCTGTACAGGAAGCTCATGCAGCTGCAAAGTCTGTGAAGGATAGAAGGTGGTTTTTCATGCCAGGTTTTATGCAGAAAAAAACAGGATATCAGTTCCTACAATTCTGCAGGTATTGCTGAGAAAGCCACTCTCTGTAGATGTTGGGCAGACTGCTGCTAGATGCCAGGAAAAAAAAATAATAAACCAAATTGTTCAAAAATTTACATTTATAAAAAAACCTCTACCACTAAAGACTCTGTCTGTCAAGTGAGGTACTACCTTGCTCTTGTTCCAAGTTCAGGTACCTCTGACAGTGGATAATCCTGCCTCATTTCTTAAAGGCAATATCACTAACTCAACCACTACTTGTTATAGTTAGAAAAACTTCTGTATAGAAGTTTGGGGAAACAGTTGGCACCTACTGTTCAGGTGTAACATAAAATAAGTTGTCCAGAATGGGACAACTTGGCATGGCCAGCTCACTATTACCAGCTTACCACTGCCAAGTTGCCTCAGCCTACCTCATGTTCCACTAACTCTTATAGAAGGCATGTCTGCATGTCATTGTTTCTCAATGTCAGAGGAGGAAGTCCTAGCATGGTTTTAGTTGTTTCAATCTGAAAGTGATATTTTTCCCTCTAAAATCCACTTTCACATGCTGTGTGAAACCAGTGTAGGATGTATTGATGCACATGGAGGTGATGGTCAAAAATGTTGAGTTCCATATAGAGAAACTTGTGTTTGTTCATGCTGAATATTTCAAACTGGGAAGAGCATAATCAATCTTCTCAGATTAAAAAAAGAAAAAAAAAATGTCTTGGAGAAAACCAAGGTGCCTTTGAACTCTTTATAAAGCTGTGTCCTCTGAAGATGGAGCAGTACAATAAAATTGTGCAATTTACTTGGTTCACGGGTAAGAAGTGATGTCTACAGAATTATGGAAAACCAAATTGGCTACTTGTGTGATCCATATCTGCTTAGTTTAATGAGTTCTTTTTTTTTCTTTTGTATGTTCCCCAGTTGACTAGCAACGTAAAAGAAAGCAAAACACTAACAAGAAGATGAAGGCAAAAGGGGAACTGAAATTTATTTTAAACAGTACATGACATGTGAGTGTTTAAATTAACCAATTTAATGCAGGATCTATTAGTGCTGTTGTTGTAAAAATACCTGATTTTTAATCATTCTCTTTTGTCCTACTTACTTCACGCTTGATAAATTCTCACCAGTGGAACTCTAACTTCACTGAATTTAATCTTAACTAAGAAGCTTCTGTTGCTATGAAAACCCCAAATATTAGGGAGCTGCAGTATAGAAAAGCAGAAAAACTTATGGTATCCTGTCATAAACTTGATCATCTGGAATAACTTCATTGGGATTATTCCAGTTGGCTTATTGACCCAAATAAATTGACTTTTTTTTTTTGCCTCTCCTGGCATTGTGTAATTTATGAAGAAGGATGTTTGATTTTTTTCTCCTATTTTCAGGCATTTTTCTTTCTTCTTTTGAAATGGATTGTCACTTTTGTACCAATATTTGTAAAGAGTCAGGCAAAAGGCTGTAATTACAGATAAATCAGAAAAGAAATACCATGAATCTAAGATAGGAATGCATATCTCGAGCTCTCAAGTCCTCATATGTCTCCAGAAGCACTGAGAGCCATTCCCATTCTAGATCCCCTCTTCCCAAATTGTTAAAGGTAAAGATAAAGGTTTCCCTTTTCCAGTCATCTCCGACTCTAAGAGGTGATGCTCATCTCTGTTTCATAGCCAAAGGAGCCAGAGTTGTCTGAAGACATTTCCATAGTCTTGCGGTCAGCATGACTATATGCTAAGGCACATGAAACACTGTTACCTTCCCACTGAAGTGGTATCTATTAATCTACTTGCATTTCCATGCTTCCACACTGCTAGGTGGGCAGGAGCTGGGGCAAGTAATGGGAGCCCATCCAATCATGTAGTCCATGGGTCTCGAACCTGGGCTGTTAGCTTTCCAGCCGACAAGCTCAGTGCCTTTAACTAATGATTTATCGTGCCCCCTTCCCAAATTGTTAGCAAATTGTAATTTTCAATCAAAGCATGGGAAAAGGTGTTAAAAATATCAGGCATAATCACATGAAAATAATGTGTGGATTAAATGTGAAAGTAAACTAAATTATACATTGCTTTTTTCTCGGTCCCATCCACTTATTTCTTGACAGTCTCTTCCAAAAGTGTGGCCCCTGAACTGAAAAAGAACTGATGTCCCTGGTCTAAAATCATTATATTTACACGAGAGGAAGTAAATAATTGTTTTATGTTTAAAAATGTGTTTCTAAAGTCAATTTATATTCTGCATCCAATTGGACTGAGCTTCCTTTAACATGCTCTTCAAGACTGAGTTCTGCTGGGAAAACATCCTAAATGCTTTGAATTTACAATATTATTTCATTCTTCCACAGAATCAAGAGAACAGCCTTTCACTGTCCATGATGTTGATAAATGTCATCATTCATGTTTTATGTGTATTCAATTTCTATAATGGCTTTTCATATAAAATTTGATGTTCTTCTCTGAATCCAATTTTCTTTAGATAACACAATTGACAAAGAAGCCCATACATGAAGTATATTTGTTACATGAAACTGCAAACTTCCTGTGGAATTGTATTTCATTTTGTATCTGTGTTTGTCATAATAAATGAAGGTCATATGATATTTATCTTCCATGCATCTGTGTCATTTGTGACCAGGAAAGCAGTTTCAACACACAAAAAAGATGCTATTTTGTCAGTCTTAAAAGCATTTCCAGGGAACTTACATTAATTCTGAAGAGAGAAAAAAGCTAAGAATAGTGGACAATGCCATATCAAAAAGCCAGTTAGTATATGAGCAATAATTTCAACTGTAGTTTCTCCTTTTCTCTTAAGAATACAATTCTTTTATACATTACCCTGACAGGAGACCCCATTTAATGCTGTGGGTTACTGCTAAATGGGCAAAAACAGCAGATGTGGATAGAGTTCAAGTTCTTTTATTTGTTTGTTACCAGTCCAGAGCCATGGTGGCACAGTAGTTGGAATGCAGTATTGCAGGCTAACTCTGCCAACTGCCAGCAGTTCAATTCTGACTGGCTCAAGGTTGACTCAGTCTTCCATCTTTCCAAGGTCGGTAAAATGAGGGCCCATATAGTTGGGGACTGACTCTGTAAACTGCTTAGAGAGGATTGTAAAGCACTGTGAAGTCTAAGTACTATTACTATTGCTACTGCTACTAGAATCTCAGGACCCATTAATCCAAGTCATAAAGAAGGCCAAGCGTAAATGTCTTGAGTGCTTCACTGCTAAGTTCCCAAAAATAAATGAAGCAAGAATAAAACTAAACATTTTCTTTTATATTTAAAATTACCCAATGTAGTGTTCATTATGTGATTGAAACAGGCCAAAGGCTTGACTAAATAATAATAATAGGCTTCCCTCCTAAAATTATCTACTGGGCCATCATGGACCACTAACAGCATGAAAATGTCCTTTCTAAGTCATCTAATCATGCCTCTCTTGGATATAGTACACGGAGCAAAGACCAAACTTGTGTAACTACCCTTAAGGTTCTGGGGTGGAGAAAGAGATTTTGTCAACCTAACACTCACATACCCCATGACTAATTTGTTAGGGACAGCATGCTAATGATGAGCAGAGTCAAAGAAAATAGACCTATCCCCGACAAATACTTGCACATTTTGTTTCTTATCTAGGACTATTCAATGCGAGCCAGAACTTAAATTGATTTCAGAGATGAACCAGAGTTTTTTTTTTATATACAGTATATGATTCAAAAAGCAAACACTAGAAATCCCTGGCAGTTGGATTTTGCAAGAGCTCCAGTTGCTATGCCTTTTCCAAGGAAGTCTTACATAGAATATGGCTGTGTAATCTTGATGTGTCAAGGCATTTAAGAGCGGCCAGCTTTTCTTTTCTTTGGCAAAATATAAAAGTATAGTATTGGGCAAAGATAATTCCTGGCTATAGATGCCATTTGTCATACTTTGAGGTAGTCCGTTCAAGAAGCACCAGCGACGAGGACTAATGTTATCATTATTGTAAGGTTACAATAACAGAATCTTGTAAATCTAAAAGGACCCTTATTTTTACTCTCCTGCAAACTAAGGGCTTATTCCAGGGGATCTCCAAACTTGGCAACCTGAAGACTTGTGGACCTCAACTCCCAGAATTCCTCAGTCAGCCATGACTGAGGGAAACCCCTGGCTTATTCTGAGATGCTTTCTCTAACAGATTATGATGGGGCTGTGGTTTTTCCTCCTGTCTTCTCAGGTAATTTCCACTTAATAATTACAATTCTGAACATCCAGAAACAATGATAAAACATATGGAAAAATCAGATTAGATACTGTGTTGAAGGCAATCCAAGCATCACTAAGAGATGCATGGAGAGAAAGACTAGGTTTCTGCATATACTTTTCTATCAAATACCATAGATCTAATGTTAATCAACCCGCCTTAAATCCAGCTTCATCATTCATCAAGATGAACTCAGTTTGAACCCAGGCAATTAATTTGAATTACAAAAATTTAGCATACTTTTTTTTAAATTTGACTTAACAAATCAATGAAATGCAAGTTTATCAGGAACCCTTCTCTTATCTTTGTCAGAATTATTACAGCCAAGTTGCAATCCTTTCTAATCTGGGTCAAGTGCTCTATTGAGGTAAAATGTGAAAGTGGAGCTGAGGTCCACAAGTCCAAATTACCCTTCATAAATAATGAGATCAATGGGGACTTTTCCTAGTTTAAACTGCTTAATTGTATCTTTACATTTTGGACACAATAAGGTTTTTTGTTTGTTTGTTTGTTTTATTCAATCAGATCTGATTCTTGGAGACGGCTTGGACATGTCCCTGCAGTTTTCTTGGTAAGCTTTTTCAAAAGTGGTTAGCCATTGTCTCCTTCCTAGGGCTAAGAGAGAGTGACTGACCCTAGGTCACCCTTCTGGTGTTTTGGTTAAAGTGGGACTAGAACTCACAGTTTCGTGGTTTCTAGCCTTATGCCTTAACCACTATACCAAATTGGCACTAAGATGGTCGTACCTAGCTCTAATTCCACATAGGAGGTCTCCTTATGTGAATATAAAGCAGAACAAAATGATTTTCTCTGATATCAGCATCTATGTGGGAGAAAGTACAGAAGTTATTATTTGAAAAATGCAAGGATACCCAGTTTTTCTAAAATAGCAGGCTACTTTGCATAAACTTCTGTGGCCAAGCACTGCTTCAAAGGCTCCTAAGTGTTGATTATTCCTGTGGGGTCATTCTTATCTGAACTTGTTTACCAGAGGGAGCTATTCTCAAGGGCATTGCTAGTTCATCCTCATAACAGTTCTTTACAACTGCCACTTTTTGTTTCACATTTAAAATACTGATGGCATATTGATGGCTTCAAAAAATAAAGACAGCTGGGCCTTACAAAATGTATCCTTTGGAAATATGGAGAGAATGCTCCATAGGGCCTCATTCTAAGCAACACACTTGGAAGGGAAGGCTCTTAAACATCAGTAAAATTCACTGCAGCCCAGTTGTGTAATAATGACAGTGAATAATTGATCCAAGGAGGAATGGACTGTTTCTTCTGAATCCCACAGATTTGCTGAGGGTGGTGGGATGATTTGAATGTTGAGAGCTATCTGTAAGTGAATATGGTTAGAAAATATAGCCTGTGCAGTCAGTAAACACTATATGATATTATTGTTTGTTAAAGTCTCTTCCTGGCAACTGTTTGTGGTAAGTGGTGCATCTGAATGGACAACAGCTGCTTCAGAAGAAGGAGCTACAGGTAGTCCTCAACTTACCACCACAATTGAGCCCAAAATTTATGTTGTTAAGTGAAACACTTAAGTAAGTTTTTTATGACTTTTCTTGCCACAGTTGTTAAGCGAATCACTGTAGTTGATAAGTTACTAACCCAGTTGTAAAATGAAACTGGCTTGCCCACTGACTTTGCTTATCAGAAAATCACAAAAGATAATCATGTGACTTTGGGACACAGCAACAGTCCTAAATATGAACCCATTGCCAACCATCTGAATTCTGATCACATAATCATGGGGATGCTGCAATGGTCATAACTGAAAAACAATCATAAGTCACATTTTTCAGTGCTGTAGTAACTCTGGACAATCACTAAACTAACTGTTGTAAGTCTAGGACAGTGATGGCAAACCTTTTAGAGACCGAGTGCCCAAACTGCAACCAAAAACCCATTTATGCATCGTCGGGTGCTGGGTGGGTGTGGCCCATTGGGTGGGTGTGGCCCATTGAATGGGCGTGGCTGCAGTGGTAACAGCAGACTGGGTGGGACTAAAAAGTTCAATCAATCAATTTCAACTTTGCAAGATCTTTTTTTTTTCCCGCAAGAACTTGAAATTGACTGATTGATTGAACCTTTTTTTTGTACATGGCGGTGGAGGCCTAAAGTGAAAAGGTTTTATAAAACCCAGCTAAAGGCCTAGGACTGGGGTGACAGCGTGCGTGCTCACAGAGAGGGCCCTGAGTGCCAGCTCTGGCACCCATGCCATAGGTTCGCCACTGCTAGTCTAGGACTACCTATATTGAATCTAGGTAGCCTAGGGACCATATCTTGGAGTCTTTCTCCTCATGTCAGAAGGGTGGAAACTGGTGGAAGATTGTTTGGCAAGTCTGACTTTATTTGCTGAGAAAATTCCCAAGACTTGTTCCATAGTTAGTACTGTTACAATTGATCTTGTTACTTACATGGCCATTCTTCTTCTTAAATCCCATGTGATCATCGATTCTTTATTGCTTAAAGGGTTTAAACAGGGCTTGCACTATACTTCATTCTTTGCCATTTCTCCCTGTTGCATTATTCTCTTTTTTTATACCAAGGAATATACCATTCTCAACCAACAATGGCTAAGGGTTGGCCATATAGGGTTGATTTCTGAATGTGATGAATCAATACAAAACAGCCGAATGGAAGCATGAATAATTAAAATGTGGTTAAAGTGCATCAGCTGTTATCTTTTCTGGAAGAGAGACAGTTTGGTCTAGAGGATCAGGCAAGAAAACGGGAGATGGTGAGTTCAAGTCCTGTCTTAGCCATGAAAGCCAGCTGGCAGACTTTGGGCTGGTCATTCTTTCTCTCAGCTCAACCCACCTCACAGGGTTATAGTTATGGGGGAAAAAATAGGAGGAGGAAGGTGTGTAGGATATATTTGCCATCTTGAGTAATTTGTAAAAATAATAAATGTGGGATACAAAGAAACAAAAATAACAAATAATTAATTAATCAATGTCTGGAATAACTTCATAAAAGTGTAATTTAGTCCTGTCTGAAACAATTTCTGGGTTAAAATTTTAAATATATTGAAAATATATCAACCCTTTAGATTCATTGGTTATTCAAGACTTTTCTGTCATCCATCTTTCTTTAAGGTTTATATTTTTTTCCTCTTTGGTCCCCTTTGTGCAATATTTCTATATCCCTTTAAACCTGTATTTGGAGCAATATTATTTCTTAGTTCTTTTTTTGTCTTCAAGATTATACAAGAAAGAGAGAGAAAGAGAAAAAGAAAGAAAGTAAGAAAGAAGAAAATAAAACTAACCTCAACGTAGGCAAATTTCCAGTAGGTGAAACTATATTTCTAGATCACACTTCATAGAAATGAACCAGATTATTTGTGGATCATAAC